ACTCTCTAGGCCACACACGTTTTTGTAACTCCTCAATGACAGGCTCTCTACAGTTAAATATGTATGCCCTCAAGAAATTAAGTTGAATCCTCAGTTCTTGCAAGTGAGCCATATCTGATACCCCATTGTAAATTTTTGGGTTCAGTTTTTTCATATCTATCCAAGGGTGATGTTGGAATTCTAACAAAAAGAGAGCAGACTTTCTAGAGACTGGGTATCTTTTAAAATCCCAGTTATGTATGACCCTTGCAGGAATGATAAACACATTGGGGTCCATACAGTTACAACAGTAGTATTCTCCAGTATAAGCACATACTTTTGCTTTAGAAATGGTGCTGCCCAATAAGTCCTGACACCCCTTGCACTGATAGTTTTGGTGATCAAGTCCTTGTTCCCTTGACAGTGTGCCTATTTGGGATATCATCTTCTGCAACTCTTGAACAGTAAAAGATGAGGACATGGTATTGGGAACTACTTCAAAATCCAGACCTTGTAACATTGGATCTTCAGGTGTTACTGTTTCCACATTCAAATCACAAATATCTGTATCTTCTGAGCTTAACTTAAGCTCTTTGTGAATATCTTTCATAATATCCCTTAAATTTGGAGTGGTTGTACAAGTTTCTCCAAAAGGATTTGAATTATCAACTAAAGATGACAAACTCTTTAGTTCTGGTGTTTTTATCATACTGCTGCCATGAGATGAGTTGGAATTGATTGAGGCATTCATGTCATCATTGTTGTCAGCAGACCAACCCTTGCCACACAATGAATTCCCAGTTACAACAATATCTGTGGGAGCAACAAAGTCCTCTGAGCTAACAGATGAAGGTGACACACAAGTACCATCTGTTGGTTCCTGGCTGGTGGAAGGCTGTTCTATTTGAACTGGTGTTACTTTACTTATGGAGCTATCAGATTCATTTTTAACATCTTTTGCTTTTGGTATTTGCAAATCTTCTTTGATTTCAGGTTCATAACTGCGACTGGTGATATCCTTAATATCTTTAGACAGAATAAAATCCAAAGCTTCATCTTCATTCAAAGCCAGCATGCGGCCCAGTCCTGTAATGCTAGAAGTATGTGTGGGAGTTGATACTATCTTGGGTTTGACTTCTTCATCTGTAATGGTGCTCGCCACATCTAAAGCTGCACTTATCGGAGCTTGTCTTATCTTTGGCACCCATATGCCAGCTAACATCAGGACCTGCTCAGGCCAATAGTTTAGTAGGCTTGAATTGATGGGCAAGTTAAATTGGACACATGTTTCCAAGCCTTCAACAAGTTTTTGAGCCACTTCTAATATTTCAGAGTCACATACAAAAGCTGACCTATTATAGAATGGTTTCACAGCAGATATATTCTTGAGGAGAGTTGACATATATGAGGACAATAGACACTCATTTAATGCAATTCGGAGCCATGCACGACATTGACCTATTTCTGTATTGATTTGTGGCAATGACGATATTTGATCTATATTTTGCCGGTGAGACAACACAAGAATAAGAGGCCAAAAGTTTGGCTGTGGCTGCTGATCCGACTCACCCGTCAGCGCATTTTTAGCCTTTCTCAAAAAAGTATCTTTTAACCCGTGTAGAAAAACTGCCTCTAGCGCCATACATAATGTGTTCGTAGAGTCAGTTGAACCCAGAACACTGTGAAAATTCTCTTCGAATTGATTGCTGTATTGAATGTCTTTTACACATTCCGACAAATTGTTTATAAGCGCTTCTTTTAGCATAGAATCGCGACTTCGGACTGTGAATCCAGATGCAACATTTTTGAAAAAAGACATTATTGCGACGTATTAAATTGAAACACTGTCGATAAACAAAAACAATTACATGGTCTTAATCCTCTTCTAAATAAAATTCACGAATTTCATGGCAACCACTATTTTGTCGTCAAAAGCATAATAATTATCGTAAATATTTGAACTACGTTTGAAATGTCATGTTTTGTTGTCACTTCAACTATAGTCAGACTTTTAATTCGATTCCTGATTTGACATTGACCACTGTCATTTTGTGAAATAATGATACCACATATAACAGTGTAGTGATGAACACAAAAATCGATAAACAATCAGTGAATCAGTTTCAGGAGGGCATTCAAAAAATTACGGCTACCGAATGGTCTAAATGTGTATCCCATGTTTTCAAAGAAGAGGAAAAAATGAGTAAGCTAGATATGATAATTGACAATAAATATCAAAGACACAATTCATAATAAATGTTACATAGAGTTACATACAAAGTGTTCAGAGAAAAGCTACCAAGATGGTCAAATTGCTTAAAAACAAACCCTATGACCAACGTCTGCACGAACTTGGCCTCACCACTCTTGAAAAGCGGAGACAGAGAGGAAACCTTATTGAGACTTACAAAATAATGAGTGACTGCTACAACGTTCCTGGACTTAAGAATATGTATCTTCTTAATAAAAATCGAAATTTGAGAGGACACTCATTAAAACTATGCAGAACATCCTCAAAACTGAATCCCTTGACACACTTCCTACCTAATAGGGTGGTCACGGAATGGAATAAACTCCCAGAAAATGTGATAAAAACACCCACAGTTAATTCTTTTAAAAACAGACTCGACAAAATCTCCAAATCCATTAATACGCACGCATCAGCTTTCTAAGCTGCTGGTGTGTTCAAGTATATAATAATAAAGAACAAGCCCTCCTACCTCATTCTTGCCTTAATTGGCTGGCTTGAGTGGAGATTCGCAAGAGTAGGAGTTGAAGGAGACTCGGGGGAAGGATGTATCTCAGTAAGATGCTGGTAGGGGTCTTGACCGTACTTCCGGGATTGCTCTGATAGCCGTGGGATACCTCTCCTTCCCCAAGCAGCTCAACGTATGTTGCCCCCTTGTCGCTACATGCTAGCGGCCGTTTCCGGGGGCCCATTAATTGAGTTTGCCAGTCACCCCCTGCCTGTTTATCCGTATGTATCAATATTGGTCAGGGGCAGGGGCCATAGTATTTCCATAGTTATCATATTCACCAGTCCATAGCAACCCATACCCATAACCCTTTAAATTTTTACCACATTTCGCAATAGTCCTGCATCAACCGGGGATTGTCCTTGGGTGCACTTTCATAGTGCATACAGGGATAATTGCCGGCTGATGTCCCATTTCACTTATATTAAAGTTGTTCAAAGGGCCTCTGCGAGTTGGCTTCGGCCCCTCGTACGCCTTCCAAAAGTCCGGGACCCTGTGGTCCCGTGAGTGGAAAGGAACACACATAATAATAATAATAATAAATCCGCAAGGCAGCTTGTGGCGAGCTGTTGGGCAGTGGCGACCCCACGGACCTGACTCCCGGGAGGTGTCTTGTTCTTCACCTCCGGTTAGTCCTCGTGACGAGCTGGAGTGAATACTGATGAAGAACAAGCCCTCCTACCTCATTCTTGCCTTAATTGGCTGGCTTGAGTGGAGATTCGCAAGAGTAGGAGTTGAAGGAGACTCGGGGGAAGGATGTATCTCAGTAAGGTGCTGGTAGGGGTCTTGACCGTACTTCCGGGATTGCTCTGACAGCCGTGGGATGCCTCTCCTTCCCCAAGCAGCTCAACGTATGTTGCCTCCGTGTCGCTACATGCTAGCGGCCATTTCCGGGGGCCCATTTATTGAGTTTGCCAGTCACCCCCTGCCTGTTTATCCGTATGTATCAATATTGGTCAGGGACAGGGGCCATAGTATTTCCATAGTTTTCATCTATTAGTGCATAGCAACCCATACCCATAACCCTATCAATTGTTACCACATTTTACAATAGTCCTGCATCAACCGGGGATTGTCCTTGGGTGCACTTTAATAGTGCATACAGGGATAATTGCCGGCTGATGTTCCATCACATTTAGATTAAAATTGTTCAACGGGCCTCTGCGAGTTGGCTTCGGCTCCTCGTATGCCTTCCAAAGGTCCGGGACCCTGTGGTCCCGTGAAAGGAAAGAACAAACATAATAATAATAATAATAGAGTAACGGCGACAGCGATAGCGATGACGGCGACAATTTATAAAATGTCTGTTTTATTTGTCATGTTCCTTCATGATCACATTTTTTATTAATTTCACACACAATTACAAAAGAAAAGTCTTAGATCGTTAATTAATTGTCAAAACTAAATTATCTGTTCAGAAATATTTTATTTCCTGATAAACTTAGTTTAAGAGAGTAAATTTATAAACGAGAGGAATCGATTCAGAAATATTCGATTTCCATATCGAATAATTTCGCAACGTCACTATTTATCACGTCTCATAACGTTGCAACACTGAAATTGTCAAATCTGGAATGGAATTAAAATTCCGAGTATAGTTAAATCTAAAATATAATTTATCGTTTACTGATATTGTATTTATTTATTACTCTGATTATGTTTTTATCACACAATAACATCACAAATCACAATCAACTTGTAACTTGTCCTTGTTTTGCTACTACTTTTTTCTGTTTATAATTGAATCAGATTTCGGATTCACTGTCCGAAAATTTGCTTTAGTCGATTATTAAGGAATATAGTTCAATAGTATGTTGTTATCAACACCGACTAATCATATATTATTTTGCTTAAATTTGGATAAGAACTCAACACACTCCGGATATATTTAATTTCGTATATAAAAGTAATCTCAGAAATACATTAGAATTGTACCTTGGCGGGGCGTGCCGTGTCGCGATAATACGCCGGTTTCATTAATTTGGCAACACTCGACACGACACTACATACTAAAGTGATTTGGCTTAAAGGACTAGTATCCAGGCCATAAACTCCAAAAAAAAAATACATACTAAAGTAGTGAATGTATAATGTAAATAAACCGAGTTCATTAATTAAATAATAAACTCGGTATTGAAACATATTTTTTGGACTGCGAAACTATTTTCCATACTCTAAATTTGTTTTGATATAAACGTCCATCGTTTAAAACGTCAATGTGACAAAACGTTTTTTATATTTTCTTCTTGTCATTTATCAGTTATTGTCATTATTGTCAATCTTCAAAGGAAAGTCTAGGCTTAAGTATTTATTTCTTGTCAATTACAATTTATTTAGTATTTAAAAGAGCTTAATTGCCTTGAATTCTGTTTTATTTTCTTTTGTAGTAATCTTTCTATGTAATTACCTAACTTTCTATTCATTATTTGAAACTATTTTTCTAAGGTATTAAATCTTATCTATTTTAGCAACTAAAAGGCATGATTTTTAATTTATATTTTTTTGTATTTATTTCATATATTTTGCATAATATTTGTGTACTAGCTGAACAATTCCCACGATCTGAAAAAAATGGGCAAGGTAAAAAACGTATCATAGTAATTGTTTTTCTTATCGTTTGTTTACATAACAATATGGTGTTAATATAGATTGTTCTTAATTTTTTAGAATTACTTCTTTGCCGTAAATGCGGCGCTGACGTGGCAGACTCTTATTACTTGTTCAGCAAACCAAGTCCAGGGGCTAGGAAAACAGAAAAACAAAATTTATTTGGACAACAGAATGTAACTGTACAAACCTTAGTTAATCCATTTGGTATCAAGTTTGAAGTAGTCACAGCAGAAAAAGCAAGATGTGATAATATAGGACCTGTAAGTACATTTTTTTAAATTATGTTGCATTACCATTTTGTTTGTTTACTTTACCTTGTTTTTTTGTTTAGAATCAGGGAGCAGACTCATGGTTTCCTGGGTACAGCTGGAGGATATGTGCATGCCCACATTGTGGTCAGCATCTTGGCTGGACATTTGAAAAAACAGACAGTATTGTAGAGAAACAATCTAGTGAAAATATAAAAACTTTTCATGGACTGATTTTGAGGAATATTCTTGGTGAAAACTGTAAGTCCAGAATTATGAGTAAAGTTTAATACTATTTGGAATTTAAATAACTACAACAATTTGTATTTTTTGTTCCAGTTACTGACTCTCTTATAATGATGCCGAAAATGTATAAAATGTAATATTAATGTCACAACTTGTGATTAAAGAGTATCTTGTAAGTATTGTAAATGATTGTTATCTTTTATACATTAATGGGTTTTTAATGTATTTGAAATTGTAAAACATTGTAAGACTAATATTAAACAAATATTTATGAATCAAATATTTTATTTTCTTACTTTTCTGTATAACAAAATACCGCAGTATACTTGGGATCAGTTTCAGCAACCACAAAAAAATAAAAAAAAATTGTCAAACAAAATAAATTGAAAACTAAAACTAACATTGACATGTCTTAAAATAATCTTATAACTAGTAGTTAGAAAATAGACAAAGATCTTATAATACTTGCAACCTGTCATATTCAATAAACTTTATTTCTACTTATAGGCAGCTGTTTATTGCATTTAGTTGACAATATATTAATTTTGAGAAGCTACAATAAAACAACTAAGAGACAAAACTGCAAGGTTATTGGGAAGGCAATGTCAAAAGCTATAAAATGTTCTCATTCTCACTAATTGCAATTATGTGGACATAATATACTACAGTGGTATTATTATGCCTGAATGTCCAGTCTTTATTATGATTTTCAATATTTGGTTTGATTGTTGGTGTCTTTTTTGTCCATTTTGTGTGCATTGATATGCTAAAATATCCTATAAATGGCTAAAACAGGGGCTTTGATTACATGTCTGCACAGCTGGCTGCATGGGATTTTAGATTATAGTCTAGCTTGAGCTGCCTACCTCTGGGTACACCATGATGACATTACCTTCTGAGCAGGTTTTTTTTATGATATTGAACTACTTTTTAACATATCTTATATCTCACAATTGAAAACACTCCTGATACAATTATTTATGCAACATCTGTTTTGAAATTGACATTCTTATATTACTATTATTATATCTTTTAGATAATTTTCTTTCAATGAGTCAGGTTTTAGAAACATTTCGCTAAAAATAGAATTGGAATATGGCATGAAAATTTGCATTTATATTACACCTAATATTATTGAGAGGTAGACATACTTGCAATATGAATAACAGTAACATTTCTTTTAGCTAGAACTTTTAACAAAGTTTTCTTTGTTATTTCTTAAAATATAAAAAAAATCACAAACATTTTTTTAGAAACTAGTTCTGTATATCCATAATTATGGAAATTCAGCAAAGAATTTGCTGAAATATCAGCTGTTTTTAATATACAAAAAGAAAGAAAACATTTTTAAGCAACTGTTTACTTCCAGGATTTGTAATGAAATTCAGCTTAAGTTAGAAAGTAATTAGTTTTTTTAATTCAATTAGCTTAATGATAAGAATCACAATTTATGTTAAACTAATTTATGTACTAGCAAATCTCTGGTGTAGTGACTGTCCAGTGGCAGCTGGTGTTGGAGAGAAATTGATACCAGTTGGAGCCTCACTATTTGCAGTGGTTCCATATGTTTTACCTTGAATAACAGCTATCTCTTTTTGTAGTTTAGCATTTAGGACTTGCTTGTTCACAAACTTCCTACCAACACCACGATTACCACCACGGCCTCTGCCTCGTGAGCGGATAGAGCCTCTACTAGTGTTTGACCTGATAGAACGATTGGACCTACTAGATCTGTTCGATCTATTGGAACCCATAGACTTCACACTGCCAGGACCTCGTCTTGTATTGTAACCACCAAACTGATTATTTAACTGTGCCAAACTCTGTTTATTTAAATAGCCAGCATTACCAACACTGTTACGACGTTTCTTAGCAAAATCATTAGCAACACTTACAGTCAGTTGGGAAGGTGAACTGAAAGAATTATTTCTTGAGCGTGTGAAAGTTTGTGATTTTATAATATTATTTCTGAGTAACATATTTTGTCGCTCTTTTAATATTTGATCTGATCTTAAGCCTATTGCACTGTATCTGTTAGCAGTACTCAAACCTCGTCCCCGTTTGGATATTCCTCTTTTGGCCACAGCAAGAGGACGCCGGATGTTATTCATTCCTCTCCGTGTTGTCATACCAAGTCTACTATGGACATTGCTTTGAAGATTAGGATTTGAATTAGTACGCGAGAGTCTTCCTCGCATGCCCCCTAGAAAAATTGAATTTGAAAACTATTAGCAATATTTTAATAAATTTCCAACAAATAGTGTTCAGTCTGTGCAAAACGAAACTCAGAACATCAAGAGAAGAAAAATATGTATTTATATTATCATACCTCTGTTCATCCGATTGCCCCTCATAAGTTGCGGCATGACAGACTGTTCTTCTAAACCCGCTCGCCCCTTAGGGGTCAGGCCTCTTAATTGAGAGCGAGATCTAGAAGCGGATCGGGCGCGAGAATTTGAACGACGTTGCCGTGAGCGAGAGCGGTTGCGAGATTGCGAACGGGATCGTGATTGCGACCTGGCGCCACCGGGACCACGAGAACGGGAACGTCCACGTCTAGATCCGGCCGCTGAATTCGGTCTAGTCTGTGACCTAGCACGCGCGGGCCCTCCACGCCCACGACCTCTACCACCACGGCCTCTGCCACCGCCACGACCACGAACATTCCCGCTACCACCGCCACCTCTTCCTCGTGATCTACTAGTTCTGTTTTGTTTTATAATTTCATCTGAAATGTAAAATTTATGTACGTAAAAATATGTATACGTGTTGACAAATTTTGCTAAAGTTGGCGGGTCAACGATTTCGGTTTTTAGATTTACGTTAAAATTGTTAGACACTACATTTTCAATAAGACACGACTTACATTATTCTCTGAGAAGATCATACTTATTATTTATTAACTAATATTACCATGAAATCTAAGCTTTGAAATTCTTACTAATATCCAAAAATAGACAGGAGTGTAATATGGTATCTCAAAAAGTAAATATAAGCTTACCTAACGACATATTGACTGTGTCCGCCATGGCTTACACTTTTTCTATAAAAGTGTTTATTATAAAGATACAAATAATGTAAATTTCTGTAAATCCTGTACAAAACACAAATAGGTTAGCATTTATTTAGACATTAAAGAAAAACGAATGATGAGTAGGTACGAACCATAGATTATATATAAAATAGGAACATAGGCTATACAACAAAAATGAATTCGTGTAGGAATGAATGAATGAATGAATTAATTAAATCAACAGGAGGTGTTAAATGGCTCAGGTTGGTACTGATTCTGAATTTAGTTAAAATATGTAATCTATATTTATATTTAAAATACGGCCAGGCGCGTAGCTTAGACCATAGAAAAGTATATTTTTTCCATGGGGCGAAGGTACCGCTGTATCAGTAATAACGGCCCCCTTTGGGGCGTAGCTATAGACGAATCGAGAATCTACCGTATTAAAAAGTTTATTAAATGGGAGAAGGTATTCATTTTTATGAAAGGAAGGCAAACGATTGCCACCCATGGATATCTGCAAAATAAGAGGAGTTACATGAATGTTGTCGGTCTTATGGGGATTACTGTTTCGGAGATGTAGAGATTGAGGAACTTCCCGCACACGGTTGTTTCACGCCGGTTTTATGTAAGGCCGATAGGAAACCGCCCCCCCCCCCCAATTTTAGGGAATTGGGGGGTTATAGAGATCATAATGTCATAGTCTCGTTCTTGAGTGATATGTAGTCTAACAACACAACAACACAACTTTCATTAATATAAAAGATCATAAGTAGTGGTCAAGACTAGGAACTCAGGGTTGCAGGCTAGCGCAACAAAGTACCCCAGCCTCGACCTGGAGCAGGAGAAGGAACGATGCGTCAATCAGTAAGAGCTCGTCTAGGAGGAGCGAATTCCCCGCGATTTGGTCTCCGTTTTGCCAAGGAGTGTACGCGCGAGCATTTAAAATCCCATATCGCCGTCGTTTTTCTATTTCGTCTATAAATAATTCCGTATCAAAACATTGGCGCTCCATTTCCCTGGATACGTGCACTCGGTCTGGAGTTCGCGCGATGCTTGTGGGCGCGGTGTGTGTTAGCGCAGCGTGGCGCTGCGGAATGTTGTTGAATTAAAGAACTAAGACATAATAAGTGTAGGTATTTTACGTTTATATTTTTATCTTTTAAACCCTACGCTTTTTTCTAACCCTGTTTTTTAACAACAAATATAACCAAATACAAAACAACGTATGTATACGCTTTATATGAAAACTAGCTAATGGCCAACATTCTAATAGCTAACGTTCGCGTAGCGGAAACTTGAATTTCTCCTAAGTTTATGCATGCATTGATTTTTTAGAGGTATGAGGAACAGGGTGGAAAGTTCCTCATCCTCCATTGAAAAGGGAGGATCCTCCGACCAGGCGAGGTGTTCGTGCCTGGTGGGCTACTGCCCAACAGTTGTTGTCGGGATTTTTCTATTGTGCTATTTAGCGCGTAAACTTCACTTGCGCGATGTAGAATCTTGCTCGTGATTGGTGCTGTTGTTTTTTTTATGTAGTGCGCTAGATGTCGCTACATCACTCCCCTCCGAGACCGGAGGTCGTTAGCTGGTTGAGATGTCTGTGAGATGCTTGTCGAGCCAGTTGATGGTTTCAGTGCGTCGAATCTGTCTGCGAAGATGCCCCAGTGAGTCGGGTGGTGCAGTGCTGAAGAGTGGCTAGCTGCTGCGTCGACCAGGAGAGGGAGTACGTCTCTGCTTGCTGACCGGCCGGTGCAGTATGCTGTGCCGAAGTTGCTGATGAGGCTGTAGGTGCTGACCAGGAATGCGCGTTGGCTGCATGCTGGTGGTCAGGGCACCCGTTGTAGCCGTGGAAGCTGGCTGACTGTAGGATTCGCTGCTTGAAAGCTCGAGGAAGTGATGACGTCATGGCTATGACGTAGTTGCACGAAGGCTGCGTTGATGTTCATGCTCGGGGTCACCAGCTTAGAGGTATGAGGAACAGGGTGGAAAGTTCCTCATCCTCCATTGAAAAGGGAGGATCCTCCGACCAGGCGAGGTGTTCGTGCCTGGTGGGCTACTGCCCAACAGTTGTTGTCGGGATTTTTCTATTGTGCTATTTAGCGCGTAAACTTCACTTGCGCGATGTAGAATCTTGCTCGTGATTGGTGCTGTTGTTTTTTTTATGTAGTGCGCTAGATGTCGCTACAATTTCATTTATACATACAATTACGCACAAATACACACTAATTTGTGGACACATATCTTTTCTTCTAAAGTCTATGGATTAAAAAAGGTTCCGCCAGGACAACGTTCGCCGAGCGGAATCAGTTTTTGGTGAATTTCTCCACAATGACTGCATACACATTTTCTTTACCATAGGTATAATATTTTAGAACGTCATTCACTAATTATCTGCATAGGTAATTAAAATCTTTAAATTCAACAACATTCCGCTGTGCGAAAGCACACGTGGGCGCGATCAATTAGTGCCTCATCTCACTAACGCGCGAAATGTTTCGAGGCGAATTGGCCCTTTCTGGATCCAGATCCAAGAGTCTGACCTTGCCTCATCCTGCGCGAGAAGTCATTTTATGATTTAGCCTCTTAGACCATGGAAAAGGTAGGCCCCAGAAAGACTGATACAGCAGGTGATCGTCTATAACATACAATTACTCCACCTGACCCAAAGATATCAGAAAATACAATAATACCGGAGGCCCTATCCTTCCCCTTCCCCAATCCCTCCTCCCTAAAAGGTCGGCAACGCACTCGTAACTCCTCCGTTGCGAGTGTCCATGGGCGGCGCTGATTGCTTACCATCAGGTAATCAGTCTGCTCGTTAGCCGACCGATTACATAAAAAAAAAATACCTTTTCAAAACAAAGGCAGAACAAATACATATATAAATATTTTTATTTCTTTCAGTGCATTCATGCGAAATATATTATGCTATCAATAAATAAAAGTCTTTTTAAATTTATTTATAAAATGAGAAAAATCCGTTCATTTGTCGATTTATCATACCAAACTTTTGTGGTTTCAGAGCAAGACCAGTATTATCCCTGAAGTAATCTAGGCAAGTGCGTAGGGGGTCAGGAAGAGGAGGGGCGCACGTGGCGCCAAATAAAATTTAGAGACACCATGAGCGCAACTTTACGTATCTGGAGCATGTAGACCCCAATTAAGAGGCAAAAATAAGGCGTTATTGGGTAACAAAATTCGTAACGTTGACTCACGTTTATTGATAAGTTTAGGTAGACTGTAGTAACAACCTACATGTATTTATATATAAAACGACTGTAATAATTTTAACTTATCGTGGTTTATTAACAAAATGAAAATAGGTGGAAATAAATAACATTATATATTTTCACGTCGTATTAATTTGTACATTATGTATTTCTTCTTAAATGTAAATTATTCTTCTAAAAAAGGCAACAACGCACGTATAAACCAATTGAGTTATAAACGAGTAACAATGCCGTTATACTGCCAAGAAATACTGTTCCTCTTGAAATTACCTACTTTCTATTCCTACTTCTTTAGTAAAAGTAAATTAGTTATCTTTAAATTACAACAAGTAATTAGCACCGACAGGAGAGCATAGTTTAATTTATAAGTTACTACTATACATAATTTTGTTACTAAAATTTGTGTTAACATTAAGACTAAATTGACAAAAATACATGAGTAGCCATTGAAATTGTGAAAATGTATACTTCCAAACCCTTTGTACATAATATGTATACAATATGTCTGTTGGTCGTAAAATATACACCTTAGCTTAATATTAAACTTTCTAAGGCATGCTTGTGGCCTTCAAGAACCGTAAAGTGCACTATACTGGTCCAAGCCCACGCAATATTTGCCTTTGTGAATTATCACAATAGTAACTCATTTGGCAGTACAACGGCAAATTAATTGTTGACAAAGTTTATTCCATACATAATCATAAAAACTAAATGTAACTTCCTGTGCGAATATTCGATACAGTTTTTGATTTGTTTGATAATTGACTAATTATTTTATATGTACAGACTAAAATATAATTACGATATTTAAACATATGAGCTGAGTTTGTAAAGTGAATCACAGTTTAAGTAAATGGTGTTTTTACCTGAAGGCCATAATAGTAGGCTATTATCATTAAGGCCATGATTTGACAGACAATATTTATATTTTTATTACAATAACAGGTTTGAGTAATTATATGACAACGTTTTGATATCGGTATTATCGAACTTAAGTACACATTTATGGTGCTACACTTGGAGAGGTAACAATTTGTCAAGAAGCCGTGCAGGTTTTGAGAAACTATTTACAAAGTTACTCAGTAATAGTATTAAAAAATTGCTCTTAGAACCTGAAATCGTTATGATCCGTTCCCTTTAATATCGTGAGCCTCTTTAAAAATGAGTACACTTCTCATACCCTGTCCAACTGACTGAATTCACGGTGACCATCTTACATTACCAATGCAGGCAGGGTGTTTACGAAAATAGTATGTATTCTTTGTTCAGTCTGTTTCGTTACATGTCAGTCCATATTCTAGTCACACTCATTCCTATACTAAATATATTAACACCCATATTATCACACTAGTTTCCTCCATAAACGCATTGGCATCACACAAAGCTGATAGACCACTCTACGCTATCTTATAAAAGATGATTATTCACTATGTATTGAAATATCGGGGAACTGCAATTTGCAAAGACTGTAATTATAGCACCAGCCTTCAGAAGGCTTCATTTGTGCTTAAGATAAAGCTGGGAAGTGATGAGCAATGAGCATTTTACATAGTACAGGATTGAACAGGTGAGAAGTCATGATTGAGGAGCAGATATTAAATGGAATAGTTCTTATTTCAAATTACAAATTTGAATTATAACTATTAAATTGCGTGAAATATATGCACGTGTCAACTAATATTTAAAACCATACTAAATTTAAAAATATATTTCATACGCTACGACGTATCGCTAAGTTCAAGTTTAGATAGTACACCGATCATACAAAACAATAAAAAATCATGTCAATGTTTAGAATTTTACAATATTATCGTGCTACAGGAATGAGAGTACGTTCGATATCCACGTAAAAGTCGCACAACACTTGGCACCTTTTGAGTATTTACGCATTAACGCTACCATATCATAATATACTTAAACGTACCGGCTTTCTTCCAGAAAAATACTACTATCTAGAGGAGGCACACACTTCAGGTCGACGAAAAGGATTTCGAAAAATATAGAAATAAATACAATCTTATTCTAAGAATATACAGTTCCACTGCGTGAGACAAGGAGCGGTACGAGTCTCGGTGCACAGACTACAGTCTAATATCGTTGGAGGCGGTCGCCAGTAGCGACGTGCGGCGCCAGGTCGCGTCGTGCGCGTCGGGCGGCGCGGCCGGGGGCGCCGCGGCCGCGCTGCCCGCCTCGGCCGCGCCCTCCGCTTCCGTGCGCCCGAACGCGCGGCACTGCACGTCCTCCTGAGCACCGTATCGGTGTAGACTCAGGAACTTAAGATTGGCCACGATCGAAGAATTTATCGGCCGGGTCGGGATGTTGACGGTCGTCGCCGAGCGCTCGATACGTTTCGTCCGGCCATCCGGCGGCGCCAGTTCCAGCGACTGTCCCCGCCCGTATAGTCTGGACTGGCCGAAGCGGGGTGTCAGCCGTCCGATGAGATTTTCCTCCTTACGCGTAGGTCGAGGAGCTGTCTGCGTCTCCTCTGGCGGTTTTGACTTTCTCTTAAGAAAGAAAGGCGTCAGGCGTTCGGCTAGCGGACGCGACGACGTGGAACCTGCGTCGTGGACGTTAGACGTCGAGCTAGAGGTTTTCAGTGGTCGCGTTGAAGTTGCCTGACTTTTTATCGGATTAGATTTTCGTTGAGCGCAAACTCGAGAAAAGGGACCCGTGTCATGCCTTTCTTCGGTTGGTGTCGATTCCACGGGAGTTTCGGGCGTGGGTGGCTCATCTTCGCACACTTTGAGCACGCAATATGCATCCCGTTGCAATTCATCGAGTAGACTATCGTCTGTGGAGACAGCGTCGGTTCGGCAGCAGTCGTCGGATGGCAGACTGTGCTGGTCGGCGGGGCGCGGGCCCGTGTCGGGGTCGGCGGGGCGCGGGGCCGCGTCGGGGTCAGCGGGGCGCGGCGGCGGGCGCGCGCGCGACGTGTGCCCGCGAGGGGGCACGGCGGGCGGGCTGTCGTCCCGCGCGTGGCTCATGAAATCAGTCATCAGCTCATACTCCTTGCAGCGGTACGTGACGTCGGACTCGGCGGGCTCGGGCTCGGCGCGCGCACGTCGCTCAGGTGGGCGGGGCTCCACGTGCACGTACTCGCAGGTTGCACCAGGAGCGGGGGGCGCGGGGCTCGCGAGGCCGGGCGATAGTCGCGCAGGCTTTGGAGGTCGCGCTGGCCTCTCTGCCGATGCGTCGCTGTCTTCGGAGGGTTCGTGCTTTATACATGACATGGTGAGGTACCCGCTGCCTGTGGATTTGGTGGACTTTCCCGAGGAGCGTTCGTCAGTATGGCGCGCCAGTTTAAGCGACTCGGTGCTAGATCCTATGTCGAGCGAGTTTTGCAGCGGTAGAGTCTTGCCGTCGAGGTCGACTGTAGGTGAGGTCTCACTGCGCCAGGGTCGCCACAAGAAGTGACCCCCGTCCACGGCCCCGGCAGCTCCGGCTAGGTGGAGATAGTTGTCGTCTCCGATAGGAGCTTGTTTGCTGCCATATTTTGTTTCCCGGGCTAGCGACCGTCGGTATATGCGATGTCGATGTTCTAAGTCAAACATGGTCTCCTGGAGCTCGCGTAACGTGGCCGCTTCCGCTTCGCGTTCTTCTACGCTCGTACCCTCTGAGGAAAAAAATAAAATGAGTACGAGAAACATGAGACCCCACGAAAGACGTGAATTTAAAATGGCAATAAGAATGATAATTAGTTAGCAGTGCCAGAGAGAGGGTTACCTTGCGGGCGGTGCAGGCGGTCGTCGAGGCGGTGCGCATGCGCGACGAGCAGGGCGTGGAGGCGCTGCAGGTCGCGCGCGGGGTCGAGGCGCAGCGCCAGCGCCGCGCCGCCGCGCCGGACCTCGCGCGCGCCGCTCTCGGTGAGCTCGCGCTCGGGGTCGGGCCCGGCGCAGCCGTCGGCGGCGGCGTCGGCGCGGCCGCAGCAGGTCCAGTGGCAGTCGGCGTAGTACCCGCGGTGCGGCGCGGCGGCGCGCTCGTGGCGGCACAGCGCGCTCAGCAGGCGCACCCACTCGGCGCGCTCCACGCAGTTGGCCGCCTGCACGAACAGCACGCGCTCGCGGTGCACTAAGGGGACACATCTTATTTACTACACTTTACAGACTCATGCATTCTTACATTATTTTGTTCTAATATAAAACGTTACCTATTCTACTTCAACTAAACTAAAACTAAAAATAATGTCATACTGACCTATTTGAAATATATTGTTGGCACCGAGCGGGGCTCCTGCAGTGGGGCAGTCCACGGCGGCGACGGCCAGCACTCCCGACAGCGGGAGTCGCTGCGCTGTCGCGCGGGCTCCTGTTCGTGACCATGACAACTCGCCGCTACACCAACATATGGCAATATTAGTACATTTTACATGATTGGCACAATATAAAGTGTTTTATAAAATATGTCGCAATACAGATAATGCACTCCATATAATAATGAATGCAGTATAAAAATTAAATAATCTAAATATAGTATACCTTGTGAGTCTGAAATGTCTTCGCTTAGCGTAGGCATGAGCCGCTCGAGTCCACCGACGGCGAGGCGAGCCTGCACCCGTCCGTACGCCTTCTGATCGCTTGATCATCGTTCTGAAATATGACAGTTTCATCAACATAATCCTAAATTTACCATTTTCTCAAACAACACAAATTTCACCATTTTCTCAAACAACACAAATCTTTTAGTTCTTATAAAAGAAACATTACATATTTTCTACACGCACTGTCTACGTCTATGACGTCTACATCGTACCTGGTCGCGACCAGAGATTGCGTTATGAACATAACATGCACTTATAGTGAAATATAAATAAGTGTAAAATTAGACTATACATACCCCAATCTAATCCAAGAATGCACAAACATTTGAAAATATAATTTAATCTTTAATTTAAAAGAGAAGAGAGAAAAACGGAGATGTAATAAAAAGGTAAATTCGTGCATTATGATTGTGAAAAGTAACCTGTAGATATTGTGAACTCACCCTTCTTTGAGCAGCACGGGCGTTTCTTGTATGTTGTTGTTCTGCGTATCCGTGCTCGTGGAGATTATTTCGAGAAACTGCTTTATTGCTTGCACCTGGAATATGGACGTTAGTTATTACTTTTTGTACTCAAACGGAACTTAATTCTCGAATTAGGAAAACGATTGTCATTAATTGTAATGTTATATTTGCCTGAAATCGATAAATTTTACTCCAATCTGTAGATTTGTCATGAAGACTGTTTTCTATACCTGTTTTCCATAACCATAGAACAATACCCCATACTTCATAATATAAATAAGGATCATAGTAGATTATGCTATTGAGTTGTTATGGGACAGAGTTTAACAATATGACTAGAATTACTACAAGCATAATTGTTTTAGTACAATAGAATGCTATACATACATGTCTTGGCGTGCAGAAGCTACGGTACAGTTCAGCCATGTACTCCTCCTTGCACACCTGCTGGGCGGACCGACTGCTCACTAGGTTGCCCAGCGACTGAATCGTCTTAGAGATCAATGTCAGCGTCCGGTTTGTTTGTGGGTCCTGTGGGGAAATGTTACAAATTATTATTGTAAAGAAAACTATAAATATGAAATTATAGTTAAGTAAAATTAAAACATTGTTAAATATAATTCTGAAATTTTTACCTATTATCTATTTATAATCTTCAATGTGAAGTAATATTTATTCAAAGGAGTGTCTAGCAATAATAGAAATGTTTGTAAAATTAAGATGTATGTTTGTTGGTTCCAGAATGACGATATAGATTATTTAGGAGAAGAAATTTCACCAAGAAACTATGTCACCAAGCCACTGACTTGAGTGAAAGATCAATTTTTAAGATATGTAGAGACTAGCTACTCTCGCGTGGTTTCGCCCGCTGCTCGGCTCCATTTGATCGTAGCGTGATGTTTTATAGCCTATAGCACTCGGGAACACCGGTCGTCAGAAGTTCCAATGATTACCCTCTATATACAAACTTACAAATTTTACCTCTTTATAATAATATTAAGTACAGATTACTTACAATTTGCTCCGTGGTGAGATCAAACAGCCTGGGTCCAAGTATAGCAGGCGCGAAGAACCGTAGGAAGATGAACCCCGATACGACGGAGTACCGCACCTCGGCGTTGCGCGGGAAGTGGCGCGCCGCGCACTGGCGCAGCGCGTCGAACAGGCGACACATCGCCGACGGACACATCGCGTACGACGATGTTATCGCCGCAAACACCTAAAGACACACAAATTGGACTCTGTAACCATTGCTCTTTGGTATACATTTACGCTGACATGTTTATTTAGAGAAACACTTTATTTTTTGGCTGGCTTGGTCGAGAGGAAGTGTCAGAGTCTAAAACGCTAAACATTCCCCGTGAATTTTTCAGTTCTACACCGGGTCGCGGTTTGAAACAATATCGCTTTATTAAATGGATTTTGCACATCGGGTAAGATGGAAAACTAATACTAATCAGAATAAAGGCATTGCTATCTATCGAACTACGCCACAAAGTAATTTTATTTTCAATTGTGATGAAAGTTTAACTTATATAAATAGTGACTAGGACATACCCGTTCCACATAGTCTTTTAGGTTGGCGAGGTTGGCAGTGACAGCGGCGGACGGTTTGACCCGCGCGGGGTCGATCTCGCAGGGACGTCTCTCGGCCAACACTGCGGCCAACGTTGGCCGTAGCACTGCCCGCAAGTACGACGCGCCGCTCAACCGCATCGCTTCGTCCATCATCTTAGAGACGAGGGTATTGCCTCTAAATATCGTTGTCGCGTCACTGTAAAGTTGTGTTTTATTAGTCAAGGACCGACACATCACATTTACCGACCGACCATTACATGAAAAGTTATCGTAACACATACTGAGTTAATTAAAATATTATAGTACAAGCATAAACGTGACATTGTTCGACGAACACACCTGAGCCCCAGTGGGATATGTTATATATTTTTTAAGTATTTAGAACTCTTTGACAAAAATATAAAATAATGGAGCGTAGAGTGAATCAAGTTGAGATAAATGATAAAATGTAAAGATGACGAATGACGACCGATATGGACCGGACGTAGTACATACAATCAATTTAATTGTAACTATAAAACATGTCAAAACGTACTATATAAGTTCCTACATTAAGTTTACTCACTTCTATGAGATAAATTGTTAACTTAGCAAGTTGATCATAATAGTAAATTGTCTAAAAGTATAAAACAATGTGAGGTACTCACGTAAGCGCAGATATCTCTGCATCTGCAAGCTCCTTGACAATGGGTACAATGAGATCATGATGAGTGAATAGCCTTACGAGGGGTTGCGCCGCGTCCGTCTTACTCGACACTATCTCCCCTAATATGTACACCGCCGATGCTGTTATGGGCTGAAAAATGATTACATTATTAGCTTATCTAGTTGCTATCCTTTCGTTTGCTGTGCTTATGTTTTGTCTGCGGGCTAGACTAAACATTTAAGTACACATGTATAGTTGTATGGGTAGAATTAAGGCGCCTTGCACTTGACTTCAAAAACTGATAAGGATATTCGGTCTAAGGAATTGCAATTTTGTCTACATCAGATATTTTTAAATTTGTGATATTTTTTTAATGGGGTGCCAAGTGTAATTTCTACATGTAGCCAGATAGAGTTTAGTTCTTACCTTCTGATGGACACTCCGTAGAAATAACTCCTCGAGTGTTCTGTAGTGCTGCAGTGGGAAGACGTGGTCGACTGTGTACTGTAGCAGTAGTCGCAGCGAGCCCAGCGTGGCGCTGCCCGCCGCCGACAGCCGCGTGCCTGGCGGGGTCGCGCCGCGGGACAGTGCTCCACCCGCGCGGGACGTTAGGAAAAACCTGCGAACAAACATACCAGTATTTAATATGGTTGCTAGTATTATTTTTGACAGTGTCTGTGTGATCCATAAATTGTTGTTTCGGGTCTGGGTGTAATGTATATGTAAAAATTGTACGTTTGTAAACGCTAGTATGGGGCAACGTTAAAAAATTAAGTCGTATGAAGTTTCTGATAAAAATCAAACACTAGATCTAGAGATTTAGGATTCACTTCGGTTATTGAAATCGGCCGTTAGTGTATCAATGCATCTAGAATTGCCTCTTACCAGGCACGTAAAGGCGTCGGCGAAGGTTGTCGCAGTTGCAGTCGCACTTCTCCCAGAAATATTGGTGTCGCAGCGTCATGCCACACCGATACTCTGGCTTCGCAGGCAACTCCCGCCTGGAAATCGTTAAAATTCTATTAAATAAAGTTTGCTAATAGAATCATACAAGTTGATAATCCCATAGCCAGATAACTTACCGTTTGTGAGCCATCTTTATCCTTGGGATCTGCGTCCATAACGAGATCAAAACAAAAAATTTCATCAAATTGTGGATTAACAGTCTTCTTTTTAGGTTTCGTACGTTTTTCAACTCTTCGTCCGTTCGAATATAACAACGTGACGAGAGCAAACGGGTCACACTGTCCATTCTTAGTGGTTAGCTCAGAGCATTCCAGCACTCGGAGACGTAGGGTGTCATGCCCTACTCGCGCTGCGCAATGCCTCTCGGGGTCTGACCAGTAGTCAGCGGCGGTGGGGGTGGGGGATGCGTCAGATTCAGGCATCGCATGCATGGGAGGCTTTGTGCGAGCTGCCCATTGCGCCCGATCCTTTAAACTTTCAGATCGCGATAACGACAGAGAGGGTTCCGTCGCTACCGCACTCAGAAGCTTCTTGCTAGTAGAACTGGAGCAAGAACCAAATCTCATACTTTCCTTACAATATTCAGATAATCTTACGAGGTTATTTCCTTTACTTTTTGTCGAGCAGTTGTCAGCGGTAGGGTCCGGGTCGGGAGGTTTCGGTTCCATTCGTAATCTTTTTCTGGAGTCTTCAAGGGTGAGTTCAATGTATGCCTTCCCTTGCACTTCAGAGTCGGCGTCGACCGGTCGTAACGCAAACCAGTGGTCTTTATTGTTATACCGGTGCAGATCTTCTCTTTTAATCGCCACTTTACCGAGGACTTTGTCTTGCTTGAGGTGCTTGTCACGATCGAACACGTATATGGAAAGATATCGAAACCGTCGCGGCACCTCAAATTGGAACTCCTCGCCGAAGAATGGACTGAAACAATTAAAAAACATTTTTATTCATACAAACGAAAGGTAATTGCAGTTTCTGTATAATATATATACATTTATGTATACAGGCAACGTCAAATAATCGTTATCAAGCTTTCGACGGCGCGCTAATTTATAGTCGGGTTGCAGCCTAGTTGTAGACGCGTGGGGTGCATGCCTTGCACGAGTGTCGCCGTCAGATTTGCCACCCACAGTTAATGAATAATTTTATGAAGGTATTGTAGGTAATAACATTTAATATTAGTAAAACTGTGAAAGATCTCTTCAATATGCTTTTAGCGACCACTTAGTTTACTTAGTTTAAGGAATCGAGTTATACAAAATGTTAAGATGGAACAATAAATACATGACGAACAATGGCTTCTCCAACAAGATGCCTTAAAACACCACGATAATTAAATAACACGATAAGTAAATGGGAGACATTCAAATAGTACACTCGACCATACTGTTGTACCACGTCACGAAATAAAGCAAATGTTCGAAGATCTCTATCCTGATAATGAAAGTGGTTAATGACACGACACGGCTTTAAAATGTACGATTTGAATAACACACTGGATTGCAAATGAAATACAAACAAATAACCGAACGTCGTAACGACTGAATGAAATTAAATTTGGAACAGCTTGGTATTTCCTGGAGAACACAGAACTTGCAATCCCGGAAAGAGGGATAATAAAAGACGAAGCAGTGGGCATAATGTAGTAATACTAGGTATTCGGTAAAGAGTGTGTATGTACACAATGCAGAGTTCATGATGTAAGTTGTAGTGTGAATGCGTGGGACCGCCTCGCTCAAAGGAGAAAGTTTGACAATCCCGGTGACACCTCTAGCTCACAGCCTAATAATAAACCGCGCATTTTGAAAGTGGATTCTTTGTGACAAAAAGAATTTTCAATTACTTAACTTAGTCGTTAAGATATTTGTGGGTAATTATAGCATTTTTTAGTATAGGATGTCATGATTTCTTCTGATTTCTAAAGGAATATGAACTATAATGAATGCTTATTCATAATTAGATTATTATTCAACGAAATACATTTAAAGATTATAATAGTAACAAAATGCCTTAAGGATTCTTTATATGACGAATTCACTCGTTAGCTACCTAGGGTCATGATTTCTGTCAATGTTATTTCGGGATTGTGTTCCAAGAATAGCGCAGTTTTGTGCAACCCTAATGAATAAACATGAACTATACATACTTTCAAAGTACATTACGTATCTATTTGTAAAACACGATAATAACTCAATAAAGAGGTTTATTGACTCGCACGGAGCGTACGTATGTATAAGAAGCTCGCAGTGTATCGAGTTGGTGGCAGGCTCGCAGGCGCATCCGGCGCCGGCGCAGTATTTATAAACCGGAGGCGGAACCGCACCAGCTGAGCGGGGGCAGCCCAAGCTCACTTGCTATTGCACACACTTCACGCCTATAATTTTAATAGGTCGATTTGATTTAGTGCTACCATTCATTCAATATCATAAGAAGAATAACTATTCTATTGATTTATTATATTCTGCCTTTGTGTCTTTTGTTTCAATTAATATAGGCCAGTCAATAGAGCTCTGTTTTAAATGATTCAGGAGACGTGGAAACATCAGGAAACGTACCTATGATTGAAATTGTTTCGAATCTTCAGTAGGTCGATGCACGGAAACGCGTTTTCAGATGGACTATGAAACTCCTTTATAAAACGCATACGCATAGCATCGGGACGAGAGCACAAAATAGCACATGGTAGCAACCAGAGCAATGCACTTAAGACAGCCGCCACTCCATACTCAGGCGCTGGCGATGATCATTTTACGTGGCACGCAGTTCCGGGACCAATTTATCACTTAAAAGCTTCCGTTTAATGTTGACGCGATTTTTATGAGTCTCTCGTCGAAATTGTGCTTATTTAATTTTTTGTTTCAAAACCTATTGTTTTGTGTTATTTCATTGCATGTTTTAAATTTTAACTTGATCTACCTACAAGAAGGCGACTCTAGGTATTTCTCTAGTAGATTTACTAGGTGAAATGAGAAGTAAACATCAAAAATATTGGAAGAGTATATTTTTACGTGGAATTTATAAAGCACAACATTGCTAACATGTTTTTAAAAATACAAAGGTTTTCTGCCATATCTTTATTAACCATTATAACTAGAGAATCATTATTCCAAGGAAGCCAGAGTGACACTGCATACACAAGGAACTAAATAGGTTTATTATCAGTAGGTACATAGTTAGCGGGGCACAGATAGTTTGGACAGAGGCACATAGTAAGTGCAGTGATAAGGTATCGCGAGACAAAGAACCCATTAAATTAACTCGACGAGTGACGTGACATTTCCTTCGATATCCGCCAGTCCACTGTGGCCTCACCTCTTGGGTCACAAAATCATTATCGCTTCCGTTCATTAACAAGCAAAACAGACTACCATTACAGATAAACAATGACACGTATTGACGTTCCACGTTTCATTGGAGGTGTCATTAGGGAAACACAGATTTGCTTTATTGCCGACTTTAATTATAACAAGACACAGTTTTGTTTACCGTAAAAATATTACTTTATTCTGATTCCAAAGATCATTACAACGACAACTAAAATAAAAACATTCAATATTTGAATTTACAAGTACTTTCAAAGAATAATAGCGATGGACTATGTAGGTGGTGTGTTTAACTCCGTAGTAAAAAGAATCAGTTCCCACAACTAATCAGGGGGAGCATAACCGGCGGCAGTAATTAAAATCATTGCAGCAGCGCGGCTGTCTTTTATTCATTCTAAAAATTGAATGGCAAGGGGGTGAAGCGGAAGGGACGTTCCGCATCGTCGCACGCGTACCGGAAGCACGTCCGGGACGTGGCGCGCCGCAGTGCCCGCCCTCCCTTACTATACAATAGCGCCTCCCCCGAATTATACGCGTTATCAAAAGCCGCACCGCATCGTACCGCGTGAATTAATTGTGACTAATGTTTAATTGATGACAAATCATTCAACAAGCCTCACCAACGCAGAGCAGGTGTCTTTGTATAAAATACGATATGAATAGGTTATGTAGCTCTTTCTTTGATATTAAACGCTAACTTTATTCGTTTGATTATGCTTGTCTTTAGATATACCTTAATAAACTTTAAATACTATGAAATAATTTCTTAAAATACTTTGAAACGATTTGATCTAAATAGGTTTGAATGTATAAAACCTTAGTGACACATGGTCGTGAAAGCGCCGGAAGTAATACATATTCTATGCAATATGCAAGAGATTAGGAGTGTGCGCTTGCGCATATTCGTGACGACACATTAATGTTTCGAAGAAAGTTACCAACAGTTCAGTCGAACCTAGCGGTTAACTTTTATTAGACTAGCACGATTTTTAATTGAGTACCAGGAACTTAAGTAAATTTTAGCTACACAGGAATTGGTAAATAATTGTTGAATATGACTGACTACAAACTATTTCTGTTATTTTGTCGGAGAACAAATTCGTACTCCCGTAGTACGCCACTATTAATTGTTTCAATTAAATGTACCTCTGCCACTTAAAATACTTCATTCATGAATAGTAGAAACCTTGACCTATTAAATTGTTTGCTCTCCCTAAATGTTAGTATACGGTTCCCACACGATAACGACGGAAGTGAGACCGGACACCGGACAAAGGATCCGTTATTATTATGTCAATTCGAACGTACGTTACGCTCCTGTTTTGTGGAATTTGTGAAGGGTCCAAAAGTAACGACTTCACTAAGGGCAAATTTTATAGTTATGTGAAATCATTGAAAAATGTATTGCTTCATAATAATTAGCAGATATTATAGTTGAAACTAGTTACTCATAATTTGTAATTTATTAGTATATGACTATCTAAAACGTTAAGCCATTAACTAACATTAGAATTTATCAAATACAAGTTTGTCTACGTAAAATCTTTATTTTTTATAAGGTTACAACTGCGTTGCTGGCACTTGGTGTGGCCATTTTATTACGGGTTTAATATTAAGGATGAAGGGAAAGGATTGGGTCTACGGTACCCTGACTGACTAATATAGTAAGGCCGTGGTAACACTCCGGTCGAGCCTGCTCATTGATTAAATAATTCAAATAATTAAAATAGTTCAAAAACAACTCACTTGAGAGTTCTCTCCATGGTGGAAGTGCGAAATATTTCTTCTTGGTCGAGCGACAGCACACAGTAAATATCACGGTGGCAGGCCGCTCCATGGCTGCGCCCTGGCAAATTTTTGGCTTCACCTAAAACAAAAAAAAAAAAAATTAAATCAAAATCAGTTGGACCATAAATTGCCTTCCACGCTCTTATTCATCATTGTTTAACCTGTATTTAAAGATAAACAAAATTTTATAATTACACAATTATGTGTTTTCCCGGTATACACAACAATGGGTTTTTTTAACTAATAATCTAATCCCCATTTTCATACTTACGCAAACGTTATCTTGTTATTACTAACGACGGCGTTATGTCAAGTGACATTTCAAGTACCTACTGCTAGTTTCCCATAGTTTGCATCTTATTGCTTATTTTATAGAGCTTGCGAAAAGACCTTGAGTGGTTGAAATTTCAATGGACCTTAATGCAGCTTTCTAGTTTTATTTAAGATGTTCTGCAATGAGATGGTTTATTGCATAACTTACCCGAAACAAGTATTTTCCCAACCAGAAGTTGTTCGAGTGTATACAGTGAAACTGTGCAAGTACATTTTCATTGCGTAGCGATTTAGCGAATTTAAGTTCCCAACTCAATATGTGTAGGTTTGTAGTTAATAATTTGTACAAGTACAAGATTGCAAAAGGTTCGTGATGAGGTCTTTCAAAATGGCTATTATGATTTTTCTGCAGATATACTGTATGCAAAGCAGTATTAGTGTGATATAATCTGTGTGTCATTAAAGAGTTTCGAGTTTACAAGTAAAGTGTTTCGTGTACTTTGTATCTCAGAAAAACTTTGAAGCTATAATCTCGGTCCAGTAATTTAATTTCTGTTCCAGCCAAACAGTAAACTTGGCCATTTCTTTTTTGGACACATGTCTGAAATAATGATGCATAAAGGCGGAGGGACCGATGGAGGTTGCGCAACGTGTTGCGACCTCGTCAGTTATCGCTAAATACGGAGACGCAAGGTGAGGCGACCATCGGCCCATAAGCAACTATTGCCAGGCGAGAAACGCCAGACGTTTACTTGCAAAGTAAACTTGTTTGTCGCTAATTTATTCTATTTATCATATTATTATTTCTACAATCTTCTGATACCTTATCAACAATGAGTACAATTGTAATTCGTTTTACATTCACAATTAAAGCTATTACAATGATAAAAGCGGTCACAACCGGTCAGCTGCACGCCCATGGATACAATTTGACATTGACAACGCCTTGTTTCGTGGCGGTAAGGGCAGTTCGTAGTTCAAGTGACAACTCGTGTGCGGTTTACCGTACCAACATACTCATTATCGTGTACGAAGTACAAGTACATACTAAATTGATTCTATAGCACATTTGTGCTGCATGATTGCATATTGTAACAAGAAATATATTCCCACTGTTTTCTTTAGCCGCGTAGTAGACAATACAATAAGAGCGCCATGAATGGCCCGTTTGTAAAAGGAACATGACGAAATATTATTCTAAGCAGCTACTATTACACATACATATAGTACATAAGGCTAGAAACTAGGTGCTAGAAGAACGATGTAAATATTTGCAATAACTTCCATATTATAAAATAAATAGTCTTGTATATGTTTATGATAAATAGATATTCGGAAAATATTCGTAGTTGTAATGTATATAATGAATTGAATTGTTATTAGAATGCCAGTAAAATACATATGTAAGTGTCGCTATTGATATTACAGAAGAAGGAAGGTTTTGAGGATGACTGAAAGTTTGGGTGCGCTACTCCGCGTGTTTTACATGGTGAAACAGCAGCTTTATATAATTAAACATAGGTGCATGCCTACTACAAATAATGAGGAATATAGCAGCAATCATATAATAATATAATAACGCCAGTCCTTCAGTTTATACGCATTAAACTAAATAATCGTTTAGGTTTTTTTTATGTAGATCATAACATATTTATTCATTCAGACTTTCTGTGCTTCATGATGCGAAACAATGACGAATAATCTGGTGTGACGCTTCGCTCAGTGCCCGAATAATTTCAAATTGACGGAGAAAGTTACAAGTACCCAACTTTCCATATTTTTTCCAATGTAGTACAGTACATCTAGGTGCCGAATTAAGAATTACCATGGTGCAGTTAAAGGGATTGAAATGATGAATGACAGACTTATAAAATAACCGTGACGAATTAAAGATAACTTATTTCCACTCATTTACATTCATTAGACGAGGAGGCTTAAAGTATCTTAGTTGTTCAGTGAATGACGTTGCTCTTTACGAACGTAATTATTCAAACAAGTACGACGTAATCTTTAAATAATAGAGATTCGTATTTTGAACTCAATTTCCTCATTTCAGGAATTAACCAATAAGTTCCTACGACTGGCCGTGACCGATACTGATATTGTACAACAGTGATAGGCAATGCACTTATTATTTAACACTCGTTGAGACGATAAGAAAAGTGATAATCATTGTTTTTATGTGCCAATACATTGATAGTCTCGTGGTAGTTGTCTACTAACTTGAACTTTCATATATTTTTCTTAAGCAAATTGGTCAATTAAAACGTTGCACGTAATTGTTGTAAATTGAGGCACGCTGCGATAGTTAGGACCGTCAAACAAAGAAAAGACCTTCCTGCGACTCTCACAAATTCGTAATTGTAGTGCTAGAGAAACTCACAATAAACTGTACATAATTGCTGATGCAAAAACAACCGTCATCATCATCAACATGACAGTAACACACGCCACTAAACTGGATCGTGGGAGAGAAACGGGATCCTTTGAATAGTGCCATCAGCCACTGAGGAAACGAATACGCACCAGCTATTTAGCCACAGCCACAATGGCGATCATTAAGATGTTTCCACACGCTCGTATGCGTAGTGCAATTGTTTCGAAATCGAGAGTATTTACCTCAGCTCACTGACGGAGCGCATGGGAACTGCTTGGAGAACAAAGTGATCGATTTCGATATCGTTTTAAGTAGGTATCACCGGAAAATAACAAGGTCATGCTATATCGTACCCTTCGTGTTTTGTACAGATAATGAATGCCTTGGCTTTAACACTGCCGGATCAAGCTTATCAAGACAACGTTCTCTCGAGAGTCGAAACGGATGTCGAAAATGTCGCTCATTTGTACAGCTTGGCAAATGGTAATTCTGTCCTACCTAGTGTTAGATTACATTGTTTACTACGAAAGAAAGACCACTCATCATGATCATTAAACTGATTTCCACCAAACCAGACCATCCATAAAAATATTTACCAGAGAATCACGTGTTAACCACAAACTTGTAAAGGAAATAGCAAATTCTTAAGTCGTGCTACATTTTTAAGATTCCCGGGAACAAACAAACCATAAATCACTAATTTGTAATTACTTTTCGGTACAGACTGCGTCTATGCGCTTGCAGGTCGATAGCCTCGATGTTAAATGATGAACTCAGAACATAATGGTTATTTTTTGTTTCGTTCACTAATCTTTTACGTCAAAACGGATATTTTCTTAGTACCATAATATAAATTGTATGTTATTATTTGAGTTTGAATAAACGTCTGCTTTGAATACATATTCGGTAGGTAAGTAGGTATTTTATTAGTTTTTTTAATCAACTACTCTACTTAGCACGTGGGAGGAAACCTACGTTGGTAGTATAATATCCAGCGACCCAAGACGTTCACCCACGCCGCGTTGGATACAATCGGTACTGTGCAGGTGGGTTGCGAAGTAGAACGTAGGTAATTTTTGCAAAAACGTAAACCAACTGTAGCCACAAATTTTGCAACAGTAAATTGCTTCACATAATCAACATAACAGAAACGAGCACATTGGAGAAAATGTGATTTTCTTCTGCTTTGAAAGTTAAAAAGTGAAAGATGATATCTACATTGTACTCGGCCAGTGTGTGGATGTATACAGTAATCACAAGGTATACTTTCTCATCTCTGCATTATATCGCGGACATCTCCCTGTAGCAAATACCTACATTGCATACTGAATCAACGTTTACTGGACGGACAAAATGTTGTTATTATAAATTATTATAAATAAAATATTTCAAAAGATGAATAATATTGAATAACTTTAATTGTGAAATGGCAACAGGGAAACACCCATTGTTATCCGATTGGATAACAATATCAATTGAAGAATAACAAGAATGAATATCGAATGACCAACTGCGGAAATCGACGGATATGCACATAATGTACTATTTACTAAATGAAACCCTTTAGTAACCAATGGAATTACTAGAATGTAGGTATTTGAGGACATGATTCATTATTCTATGAAAAATATGTCTAAAATAAAAATAGCTATAAACCAAGAAAACAAATACTTTTTGTAAAACAATGCACATAACACGTCGTAAAAAATGCAATTATAAGGACTAATATTAATGAGTAAATACTACATAATGAACCTAATCTATAAAATTGCAAGTATATATGATTATGAGTGAATATTTCAAAAGAGCAATGACTTTAGATAAGCCCGATATCAACCTACTGCATGATATACAAAGTGTTTACGGCTGTTGTAATAAAATAATAGGCTTTAAACATTTTATATGTTCTGATTTCGGCCATCCTATTAATATTATAAACGCACGCTTTAAGTATGGATGGATGTTTGGTATTCTTTTAGGTAAAAACTACAGAACGCATCTTAATAAAATTAAACAAGAAATTAATCCTCTATAATCTACATGACATTAACTCTTAGTTTGAGTATGAGCTGAAGCTGAAGGCTGAGGCGATCGGAAAAATAGGGCCATCTTTGAGCGATTTTTTACTAAAACAACCTATGATGTTCATTATCACGTGCATTAAAAAACGTTTTGTTGCATGGAACGGTTAGATGGTTTTTTGTGTATTGCTGACTGCGAAACTAACTAACAGACACGAAATCCTTCACTAATCAAGAGGTTTTAGGCTTAAGCCTTTTACGTAGGTACGTACCTATATTATATTCGTAAAATAACAATTGGCCCTATACGTTTAGTTTTAGAGTGTATGATACTATCGTAATTGATTTGACTTCCATTGATCTTTTGATACTTGAACTGAAAATTTATCACAAAAATATAACATAATTATTTATATCCTTTTTACCTAGTCAAGTCCGCCACTTGCACTAAGCTTTTCCTAGAATAGCAGTTGTTTTCGTCAAGACGAATTCATTACGCGTTGTAATTAATTTACACCCGGTTTCTCCTGTCAACGCTAAAATTAACTAATCTCCTGTTAAATATCTTGTCAAGTCATCTGATTGGTTGTTGATAATTCAGTCAACCAATCAGATGACTTGACAAGAGATTAAATTGATTCTAACATTGATTGGCCTTTCGAAAACCGGGGATAAATCTATTAAATAATAATGTAGCAGTACGGCTACAGAAATGTGCGTATCATGTATCTAAAAAAATATACCTACATATTGCAACTTTTATTTCTTAAAAATAATGTAGCTAAATACTATTCCATATCATATCAAGTACAATCTTATCAAACTAAATTCATACACTTAATTTTATGATGCACGAATGTCGCGACAATTGAATGAAAATATGATATTGGCAAGTGGCGCGCCAGTCACATGTGGTGCTCCGCAGAGACGGCGATAACGGTGACGATAAACAAGCGCGTTTTTCATTAACGGATCGACGAGTTTCCATGAATGGATACGTTGAATGGAAAACGCTTGGTTTGCCCCATTCACTACTCGGCGTCGCTACCGCCGCCGCCCGCCCCTCACTAGCTCGCGCTTAGAGCCGAGGCCGAGATAACTATGTACGATGTACAAGGCGACGCTCGACGCCCGCCAGCCGCCATCGCGTCGCGCCGCTCTCATTGTTTTCACTAAGATTCTACCTAATCAGTAATCGCATAATTCACCTAAACAAATTATCAACCCACATTAAGATAGCGGCGCTGAAATATCTTCATTCATGCAAACTTACACCTAGCCAACACACTATCGCTTGAATCATTTAGTCAGTTAAAAATAATTAGCTTCCTGTATCTGGGAGCAGAAATACATGTTATATCTACTATAAGTAAATATAATGCGGTCGGCGAGACGATTCAACCTAGATTTGAATTTTATGTTTATTGTTATAGTAGTGAGTGAATAAAAACTTAGGCAGTGGAATTTATAAATATGACTAACACATATCTTTTACTGATCCAATATGTGTTTAGATTGCACATCGAATAAATTATAGGGACCTTTGTATTAACGCGTACCTATATCATTAATTGACAGCCTTACGAATATAAAAGATTAGCTGCCGCCCGCGGCTTCGCCTACGTGGTATGTGGATAAAAAGTATCCTATGTCCTATTCCGGAGTGTATCCTATACCTATGCCAAATTTCATCCAGATCCCTCCAGCTGTTTTGGCGTGATTGAGTAACAAACATCCAAACATCGTAACTTTTGTATTTATAATATTAGTAATAGTAAGATTTGCTGGTTTATCAATTAATGAACTCTTTTTATTTTAGACTTTAGTGCAATTAATAACAGTGAAACACTATCTCTCAAAGAATATATATATAGGTGTATCAACAAGTCAGTTTAGGTTTATCATGTTTCTACGTTCTTGCAAACATTCACAATTATTTAACGCTTAATTATTTGTAAGTACATCAACGTCATATTGAGACTTGAAAATAATAAATATAGCTCCCAAGAAATGGTACTGGCTCATATGCAGTACAGTGAAATACACACTGCTAATCAGAAACCTCTGTTTACCTAAGAAATAAGACACGATAAGTATGTACTTAGGTACGTGCGTGACTCACATTCACTTGTTAATGTACGTATATACGTACTGTACAAAAACAACGTTTATATTATGTACAGTTGAGACGTCAAGTGTTCAGAATTTGAGACCAAATTCTGACAGTGAAAACAACACTTAGCCGGCAAGACGTAAAAGGCAGGTAGCCCGTATTCTTGAGTCATACCACACATCAAATAAATAATAGGATTCAATTAGCAGTTGCCCTTTTGGGCTCGGTAAGTATTAGTATGAACAAAGGTGTATGATGGCGCATGGGTAGATAAGGCGCAGGCACGACGGAAGTTGCCATAAGGTGTAAAGGTATAGACTAAGGTGTCGTACATTATTGCATACTCAGTATTACAGAGACTAGAATGCCTACGAGAACAAGAACTAGGCGCCGCCGCCCACATTCAATAATTATCCATAAACAAAGTAATCTACTAAGTGCAAAGTCAATTAAGACATACCATAATTGTTCAACTATTTTTCTAGGTTATGCTATTAAAAGGAATTCTTTTGTTGACGTAAAGATACATTTTTGATTATGAAACTATATGTGCATATTATTGAACTTTGAGTTCAGGTCCTTTGACTATTTTATCCTTTTATTCCTGGCAACAATGAATGGGATTAATTATACCCAAACCAAAAGAATGCCGGAACTCTGAAATCGTAATTAATTATATAAATAATATGCATATAGGTAATAAAAATATACCTGTATGCATATATTTTAAAACATGTTATTGTATGAATTCCCCACATTCCCACATTTTTTATTATATTCTGGGAATCTACAACTCCAGCAGTGCTATGAACGAACGCCAATAAAAGGGAAGTACATAATTTTAAAATTATTATTAGTTAATATTCAAATCATTTTAGCTTACAACACTAACAGAACAGTTTGCAGCAATTCATTCTTATGAGTTAAGAAAAGAAGGAGTTTTTAATTAATACGTTATGTGCCTATTTTATATAAGTTAAAACAAAGCAACATAGAAGCGAAAGCGTCGGCGGGTCGCGCCCCGGAAGGCATACTGCACCCTTATCGTGGCAGACACATTTCGTGTTATCGTAGATTTATGCGACCGCGCCGCCACCGCGCGCCGGCACAAATCAATCATATCATACATTTCTGTACCTACACACATATGCAAATGCATAACTTAGCTCACGCCATCGAATTGTGCAGTGTATGGCTCCTACATGTACAGTGTGTCAAAATCAATATCATTATGCTCATGGTTAATTATTCCAGTATTACTAAATTGAAAGAAAGGACAAAATTTTTATGGGGACAACCATTGCATTACATTTTCTTTTTCATTTTTATTCAACGAGTATTGACTGTAGTAGCGAGTTAGTTTCTGTACTTTTTTTTTCTGTTTTTTCCAAATTATAATCATTATAATTTTGCACCATAAATCTCATGGGTCAAGGTCATGCAATAGATGTAACAATAATAATTTAATATCAACTTCAAAAGTTTAAGGTGTGGCGAAATATATGGATAATTAACTGTTTCGTTTAAAACATGATTAATTGTTATATCCAAGCTAGCTTTTTTGTCAGGTCTTAAAGATAGGTTTAAAAAAACTAACAAATTAAATAATTTAGTTAGTGATGTTGTTTTTAAGTAGTTCATATTTAAAAAAGGTTTTTTTTCATTATGTGTATGTGCATTTCACAGTTATGTATTTGCTTTTTGCATGTACTATTATGACTAGTAAATAAATATAATATACAATTTAAAATTAAGAAATATGCAGCCAAGAATTGAAAGAATAGGCATCATAGTTGAGCCCCAACTATGATGCCTATTCTTTCCAAATAATAACTTTTATCATTTAAACAGGTATAGGTAAGAATAATGATAATTAATTATAGTTTTTATTACAAAGTAGGTGCCTACCAATAAGCAGAAATAAAATGTTAAAGAAATATCATCCAGAAAAACAATAAAACTTAAAAAATATTGCATTATGGATATTGTTTGAAAATCAAAAGAGAGTATAGGTAATTTTATATGTAAATATATTAGAGCAAAAAATAAAAACACAGCATACATAATGGATGAGTACATAATGTAAATGGCAATGAGTAATGTAAGAACACTTTCATTGTAAAGTAGTAAAATAATCTCAATACTTAAATCTTTACTAGAACAATATCTTAAAAGTGCAAGTATCTTTTGAAAAAGAAAGCAAACAGGTGGGCTTAACATTTCCAAGTAAGTCTTATATTGAATTAAATGATGAGAGTGCACAGCAATATCTAATCTAATATGATCTGGACACGATATTCATTGTATTCACGGTAATTCATCAAATTCATTCATAAAGTTTGCGTGAACTGTCAAAACAGAACGACGAAAACAAAGAACTAGACTCTCAAATAAACGTAAAATAGATCACATCCGTCGTATTACTGCACTTGAAACCATCGCATAACTTATTAACGTGGTGATATTCATTCACATCTGGCTCAGAAAATTAAAGAGTTCTTTGGTACCACCTGTTCACCACAATGACAACAATATTTTAGTTACAACACGCCGAGCAGTCATTTCTGAGTACTTATTTGTAAAATAATTGTAGAATAATTGCTAGATGTAAACACTAAAGAAAGTTAGCAAAACAATACGTACCGATCTTTATTTTCAATCTTTCTTCAACTCGCACTTTACGCATATCGTCCGCCATGTTAAATCCATAACTGTTTATCTCTTTCATCCGCTGTTATCTCTTTCGGAACGAGCCCGTTCGGCCGGCTTGTCCCGCCACTTCCGGAGTGTCGTAATGGTCTACTTGGGCCTGTTTTCGAATTAGCTGGGTAATTGAAATCCATACACAAAGTTCACTCTAAGAATCCACATTTTCGTCGATGTTTTGAATATACATTTATCACACACAGTAAACCGAATGAATTCACGCTTGCATTGCGCATGTGCTCAATACATACATGCACTGAACACTCTTCTATCAATGAATGAACGCACTTGGTTCAACTTTATAATCCTTTTGTTAGTTTTGATACAAATTAGTAATTAAACACTTATTTCACATTTCGAACCATTTACTCTATGCAACATAACATGATCATGAAAATGTTTTGAAAACTTCATTTCTCAATGAATAAAAACTATGAATGGGCAATTACGTCACGTCAAGACGTTCAACGTTGCGCCTGCGCGGCCACGGATGAATTCGTTCCAACTTCGACCACTATCGCTTCGTTCGCAACTCGTTCTTAATTTAGTGAAAGAGATAGAAATATATCTCCTTCCTTTTAACAATAGTAAAAAAGGTAAAACCAATGACTTGGATAGAAGTCTTTTTGCAAAAAACATTTTTTGTAAATGTAAATCTATTAAATAATTTATTTTTAAGTACGTCTATTACGTATATTAGTCGTTAATCTTAAAAATATTTGGTATGCTAGTTGCACTTGCAAGTACTAACATTACTTTTTTTATTGGCTATTGCAATTATTACTAAATAATAACAAAAATACTTCAGAAATTACGACTACTTGGTCAAAAATAAAGTATCGTTTGTCACCTTGTTTTCAAGAAATGGAATTGAATTACCTTTTATATAGAAAATATGTATATGTCTTCTTATATTTTCTCATCAATATTCTTTTTAATGACAAAAAGGAACTAAACTGACATCACTAAAATAAAAGAAAACGAACTAAAATGACATCTCTAGTTGACAGTTGATAGATTTTGGGAATGACACATGACATTGATAGCGAGTATTAGCGAACTGCAATGTTTTTATTTTTAAATAAATAAAATCACCTATTTATTTAATGGATATTTCATAACAATATTTTTTAAGAAAAAATGAATGATAATTACTCACACGTTGAAGAAGACTTATTCTATATAACAGAAAATATCTTAGGACCTTGTGATAATAGTGTAGAATATGAGCGGCTGCAAGATGATTTTAATTCTGTGTACGAACATTGTCAATGTTTAAGTATTTGTTCTGTAACAACATGTAAATGCCTCGAAAACTCTTGTGGTGACAACTATCAAGTCTGCCAGGATAGGTACAAACTTGTGTCAAAACCAAATTCGTATCCTCTGGTGGAGTGTAACGATATTTGCACTTGTTCTACCGAATGTGGAAATAGAGTTGTACAAAAAGGTCCGTTTGAAGGTTTAGATATAAGAATCTGTGATAAAGGCTTTGGACTGTTTGCAACCTCTGCAATAACAGCCGGAACTTTTATATGTGAATATGCTGGAGAAATATTGACTTCAAAACAAGCTTCACTACGGCACGATAGGAATAGGATGATGGGAAAATCAAATTATATCTTTTGTCTTAGGGAACTTTCCGGTAGCAACACTGTAATAACTATTATTGATCCGAGTATATTTGGTAATATTGGTAGATATATAAATCATAGTTGTGACCCTAATTCTCATATATTACCTGTTAGATGTGGAAGTCCTATACCAAAGTTGGCAATATTTGCATGTAAAGATATATCAGTAGATGAGGAAATAACATTTCACTATGGCTTAGATGGAACTGATGTGGTGAATGAAAATGACAGAATAAAATGTTTGTGTAAAGCACAGAATTGTCGAGGTTTTATACCTTTCCAAAATTATTAAAGTGTTTTAAGTTGTGATGTGTTTTTGTTAAGTATAAGATTTCATTGTAAAATATCAATGCATGCTAATAAATATCAGTCATATTTTATGAGAATTTAATGATACTTAGGTACTAAAATAGTTAATTCATTTATGAATATAGTACATATTACTATATTTACTTATTTTAGTTACCTTTCCCTTAACAAACATACATTTCTTATATATTATTTTATATTTAAAATTACTAAAACTTAGTAAGGTGAAATTCATTACAGAAAAAAACATTATAAATATTGAACTGAAGTCTTTTTATTAGAGTAGTCTGAATATAATAAAAGCTCTGAATATACTGTAGCATAATAGCATAATCTGCCAAACAATATCAAAAATCATGACAACAAAATTTAACATAATTTACCTCCAATGAAATGTTCTAAACTTTGTTTTTTAATTAACATGAAGAATAATGTAAATCCATAAAGATTGTTACCTATAACATTAAAGTTAAATAAAAATAAACATTTTATTTTGATATAATAATTATTTTAGTGGTTTTGACCTTTAAATGAAAAGAACAATGTTTTTTCTTAAAATCCTTAGCTTCACACTATTTCATCAGTTTTATTTCCTATTTGACCTTACAATAATACACTGCATGGTCTTAAAGATAATTACTATAACCTGACAATCCTGTATTTGATAATAGCAACTGATATGTTAGTGTTTTATTTGTTCGGCATGCAGAGAAGATTAAAAGAAGTTAAGCTTCAATGAAATAAAGGTCTTTAATTCAGGTTCCACGATAGTTCCTCATATTAAAAAGAGGTCGGCAACGCACTTATATAACTCCTTTGGTATTACGAGTCTCCATGGGCGGCGCGCCGATTGCATACCACCTATGATATAAAAAAAGGTTCTCAGGTATGATACCCAGAATCACCACATTTTATGAAGACGTCAAAGGATTAAAAAGAACGTCAGAGGACTCGAAGTAGATTCACGTCACTAAAAGTATTATAATCCCATGCATTAAGGGGCCAACATCACTCCAGACTCCAAAACGAAAAACCACTCGTTCAATCACTGTTGTGGCTACTTACGCGAACCTACTTCCAAATTGTCTCCTTCTGCCTCAACTCTATGCACTATAGACAAACCTTTGGGGTCACGGGCACGGGTAGATGAAGTGGTGAATCTAGGCACCTACCCAGTGGAACTAGCTCGCCGCCCGACCAAAAACAGACCCGAATGTACAAGCCAATACACCACCACAGACGGGGCCCTATAGGGCTAATGTTCAGCCAGGGTTGCGGGGTAAGCGCAATGAGGCACTACGAACTCGGCCCAGAACAGGAGTAGGAACCGGAAGGTTTTTTAGTCAGTAAGAGTCTGACAGTCCCTCTCACCCTACCCTGGGCGGGAGAAGTCATTTGATGATTTTCCCCTCACAATAAAGGCACCTACCCAGTGACGTGACGTCAGGTAAGATACTCGCAAACTGGTCATGTACCGCAGTGCATAGCTTAAAGAAGTCACGCACGTCGGTCATGGAGTGGCCACCAACAGGAGCCCGTGTCCCTTACAGGTGTTGACAGAGACCACCGGTAAAAATCCCACACTTCCTAGTTTTTTCCCCAAAACCTAGTCGCCTTTCGAAGGTTTCCCCCGTGAACAGAAAATAGGTAGGTAAATTGTTTACTTATACCATATATCGTCTAGTACCTATATAAGTACCTACTCACACAAGTACAACATAATAAGGAAAAAGTTTACCCATGGCGACGTCAAAATATTAACTGAGATTCTTAAAAATCATTAAGTGTTAGACAGAGTAGCCGGACATAACCGTGCCCGCACCGGGCACGGATTGATACGATAGTTTTGCAAAAACAGGTTCTTGTTTTGTTTCACAGATTTTTTTACATCGTAAACCTAGTCGACTTGGTATCTGTAATTCCTTTTATCCTTATCACGTTACTTGGGAATTACATACGTTCATCTCCGTGATTAGGAAGATGTAAATTACCTTATTAAGATTGGATTTACATACGATATTAGAACAGCATTAGAGACAGTGTTTGCAGACATCACGACTGACGATGACGTGACGCAGTTCATGCAGTTGATTAATGAGTGGGTACATATGTATATGCAACGTTGTATATCCGGTTTTGGTTTAGTTTTGTAAGATGAAACCTGTATTTGAGTAAAAAACGTTCATAGGTAGTTTTTGCTGTGTTGATATGGAGACCATAACATACCTAACATCGATTAGTTCTTGAGAAGGTTATGTATTGCAGATAGTAGGTAAGTATATTGTATTCTACAAGGTCGGTAGGGTTCCAATTAAAAACCAATCTTACCTTTTTGACAGAAACTACATACAGTATTTAATTCTCAATTTTAGAGATTTATATAGGTATAGCGGCATACATACATACCTACCTACATTCTATGGCATAACCACCACACCTCATACCTATTACCAGATTACCTTTACCGTACCTCCTTGAAGAACCAGATTACCTTTACCATACCTCCGTGAACAACAAACCAATACCAACGTTTTTGACTTTCTGTGATCAGAAACAGTGAAACAAGCCGCCTTGAAAAAGGCGTTTCAAACGTTTTAGACTTCTGACAGAAACTCGTCTTGAAAAAGACGCTTGTAACGTTTTAGACTTCTGCTGACAGAAACTCGTCTTGAAAAAGACGTTTTAAAACGTTTTTGACTTCTGCTCAGAAACGAAATATAATGAGCAAGCAAATAAGCAGGCAAGCAAGCAGAAGCGAAGCCCGAAGAACACGGAGGCACGAAGTTGCGGTCCACGACACTGGACACGTCTGTAGTCGTCGGCGGCACCGGAGCGAAAGGACGCGTCGCGCGGCACGCGCCCTATTATAGCCTCGCGCTGTGCTCGCGACATCGCGACGAACGGCGACCGCGACGGCGCATGCGCGCAGCCGCTCCGTCGAGCCTTGCGACGAACGCGCGCTGCTATTGGTCAATTGTATTTACATATGTGTGATAGTGTATAAGTTAGCCATAAGACATGTAAATATAAGTAGGGATATGTTGCCGATTAAAGCATTCCAAACCACGACAGCCTCGAGTTAATTACAAGAAGAAACCCTGCTCTCACTCCTAAATTGGTGACCCTCCTGAAGAGAAAGAACACTAAATAACATCAAGAAGGAAAATCCCTGCAAGGCAGCAGAAGAATATGGCAACCGAAGAATACAGCGACGTACACGGCGTAACCACATCGAAGAGCGACGTGGCGACGATATCCCTGCCCGCTAGATTGCCACCATTTTGGCGCCAAAATCCTCGCCTATGGTTTGCGCAATTCGAGGCAGCTGTCGCCGCAAGCAAAATAGGAGAGGAGCAGAAGTTTAACCTCGTCGTACCATTGCTCGGCAACAACGACCTTGAACAGATCGCCGACATCATCTTAAGTCCCCCAGCGTCCGGCAAGTACAGCACACTGAAAGAACGGCTGATCTCCACATATCAAGAGTCTGACCATCGCCAGCTACAAAAACTGCTGAGTGGTCTCGAGCTCGGCGACCAAAAACCGAGCCAGCTACTCCGCAAGATGCGTGACCTCAGCGGCAAACTCCTGTCCGACGAGGCATTAAAAGTAATGTGGCTGAATCAACTGCCAGCCCAAATACGCGCCGTACTCTCCGTCAACACCGAGTCATCACTCGAGATGCTAGCCGCAATGGCTGACAAAATGATGGAGCATTTCGAGCCAGCCTCTATCAACGCAGTCTCCACAGCAGCAACGTGTCAAGAGAATCTACAAATCTCCTTACTGTCGAAGCAAATCGAAAAACTATCACTTGAAATCGCCGAACTCCGCACCAGCCAGCAAAACCACCGACATTCCCCGCGCTTTCCACACCGCAACCGTTCCCGCTCCCATTCAAGATCCAGACAGCACGCGCATAATAACATCAAGCCCGGCGACCCGAATTGGGTGTGTCGCTACCACTACAGATTCGGCGACCAAGCACGCAAATGCGAATCGCCGTGTTCAAAAAAGCGGGAAAACTAGAAAGTACATCGACGTTGGCGGGCGTCGATGTAAACCAAACCAGCCGCCGACTATGTATCATCGACATTAACCTCCGAGAGAAATTTCTTGTCGACACGGGAGCAGACATATCAGTCCTATCAGCAAGAAACAAAAAACATATCAAGCCGGCGAAGACCTCATACAAACTGTTCGCGGCCAATGGCACCGAGATTCGTACCTACGGAGAGCGCACACTCGAGCTCAACCTAGGCTTACGAAGACGATTCAGGTGGACATTCGTCGTGGCCGACGTAAACACATCTATACTAGGCGCAGACTTCCTAGTACATCACCAACTACTAGTCGACCTGCATCAAAGAAAACTCATAGACCGCATCACAGAACTTAGCGTAAACGCGATCAAGATCAACGGCACCGAGCAAGACACCGTCTACATGGTCAACCGCGATCACGCTTATCACGACCTACTAAAGAAATATCCCGATGTTCTGCGACCTATGTCATTGAAGACTCCTGCGAAACATGACGTCACACATCACATTGAGACATCCGGACCACCTATATACTCACGAGCGCGACCCCTACCGCCCGACAGATACAAGGCAGCGAAACTTGAGTTCGAGCGCATGATCGAGATGGGTATCTGCCGACCCTCAAACAGTCCTTGGGCGAGTCCACTGCACGTCGTTAAGAAAAAAGATGGTTCACTCCGAGTCTGCGGCGACTACAGAAGACTAAACGCTGTTACAGTACCCGATCGATACCCTATACCACGTATTCAAGATTTTACCTACCAACTTCACGGCAAGAAAATATTCTCGAAACTCGACCTCAAGATGGCATACTTCTGGATTCCGATCGCTAAAGAAGACGCACAGAAAACAGCAATCATAACTCCGTTTGGTCTCTTCGAATTCAACTGCATGACATTCGGCCTAAGAAACTCAGGACAGACCTTTCAACGATTCATGCACGAAGTACTACGAGGACTCGACGACATAGTGTTTTGTTTCGTCGACGATCTACTTGTGCACTCGAGAAATCAAGATGAACATCGACGTCACATCGAAATAGTACTCGAACGCCTAAATACCTACGGCGTCAGTCTAAAC